ACGCGTGCCCCGGGCCCCTTCGCTGCGGGCCCTGAGGCCGCAGCCCTGGGCCTAGCAGGCCTCTGGGGCTCAGTCACTGTTTTAGCCTTCGTCAGCAGTAACATAGGCGGTGACTCTGAGTTGCTTTAGAGCTCATCTCGGGTTGGTTTCCCTCTAGTTCTAAAAGCACCATCCCCGCCTCGCGTGCAGAAAGAGCTGAGGGGTTGCTGGTGCTTGACTGGGTTTCTGAGCGGCTAGCCTGAGATGCAGACCGGTTTAGCTTTCACAAGGTGTGAAGTAAGGCCCCTTTCAACAGCCCTGTTGCTCGCAAATGGTATTTGCGGTATTGCATTGCGCTGTTATTTGTGTGTGTTCTGCGTAGGATAATGGACACTTAACTATTGCTTGATTTCAGCAGCAGTAAAAAGCTCTGTAGCGTTTATCTGTGCTCTGCTGTTCTGCAGCCGCAAGGGAGGAGTGGCTGTGTGCTGAATTTCAGAAATCTCTGGTGTCTTTATATCTTATACCTTACACTTACAGTTTTCATTCTGGAAGTGATTGTAAGCGCCTGATTAGCTTCTAAAGAATGAGGTTTATTTTGACAAACAGTAACTTTTCTTGGGAATACTGATAGAGACGTGTAGTTAGATGTTCTTTTCTCCAGAAGAAAACTAATCCGAGCAGGAGAAGCTTCCTCATGAAGAAGACTTTGGAAAACTTGGAAAAACAGTTTTTGTTACTATTTCAGAGATTTTTTTGGGGGGGGGTTGCTTGTTTAATACATAGACTTATTTGCTTACTATCTATTGTTCTTATGAAGAAGTTTGGAGGTCTCCACGCTGGATGAATAACAGCTAGGCAAACTTCATTATTGATAGACCGTGCTGAGAGAAGAAAAATATGTGGGCGGTGGACTAGCTGGCATGATAGTTTCCTTCCCAGCAAGAATGATCCTGTACAGGTAGCAATTCAGACATATACATGTCAGGGTCATTTAGTTCCAGTTATTCCAGGTTACATATTTTAGTAAAAATATTTGATTAGCATGATTTACAGCAATTCTCTATATCAAGAAACAGAACTGTAAAGAAAATGCAGTGTGACGTTAATTTCTGGTGCTTTAAGCTAAATATTTCAATTGTCTGCTTGACAGCATGTGCTTAAATCTCAGTAGTGGGTCTCTTTAATTTTTACCACTAGACTTAAAAAGTGAGACCTTGATGTTAAAATCTGATCTGTGCTGGTGGGGCTCTTCAGAGCTGTTACGATTTTAGTACGGTTCTGTGGCATTCAAACTGAAGCGTAGTATATCCTATGTAACAGGATACAGCCTTCAGCTTTTAGGGGTCAGTATTTCAATACTGCCAACTTTTCCAGCTTTTCGGAAGTAGAAAGCCAGGCCTCCCAGGTTATGATACTTAAATTCAGATTGTTTTCATCTGCTTTCTAATCATGATTTCTCAGGGTTCTCTATTTCAAGCTTTTTCCTTACTACCAGGAGGCTATTGCTTTTTTTTTTTTTTAATTTTCTAATGGAATCTATGATTTTTTCTGTCATTACAGATTTTCTGACACTAAGGCTTTTAAGTAAAATCTAAGTGCAAAGTGCTGTATCTTCCCATATTTACTCTGCACCTCAGATTTCCCACAGCTCTTTATAATACTGCTCTATTGCAATTCAGTCCTGAGAAATCTGTTCATGTGAGTTAACCTATAGAAAAACTAGAGCCAGGAGGGCTGTAGGGAAGGGAGCAGGATGTGAGGGACTGGAAGCAGGGATGAGGGCCGAGGGCTCTGTGGCAGCAGGAACTTACAGGAATGAGAACATGCCATTGCATGCTCTTACTACTTAAAGCTCTGTTTTTCCTCCCTTGAAGGTTGTCTAAGCTGGTTGGCTCCCCCTTGAGTGCCCCCATCTTATGGGATTGCTGTCTGCTGTGGCTGGGAGGTACCAACTTCAGTCTCAAGTCTCCCACCAGACAACTAGCCTACGGGTTCCCCCTCAGGACCGCCTCACCAGCTCTGCATGGGAAGCCAATTGTCTTTTCTAGTTTCAGGTCTTCCCTTCCAGGGGGCCTTTTCCTCAGTGGTCTCCCAGGCTGTCCTCTGGTAGCAATGCCGTTCTCTCTAACTGGCATCTTTCTTGTGCTTCCAGAATGCTACCAGGGTTAATTCCTTTGCTGTAACAAGGCTGATAAACCCGTTTACAGATTAGCTGAAACGCTTTATTT